CACTTGATGCCGGACCTCTCACATGGATTCTAGACTTGTTTTGATTTTCATGATCATTTTCTTGATGTGTGGAGGACTATGCTTGCTTGCTTGATATTGAAATTTTGGGAGATTGCTTAGAAACGGTTGAAAAATTGCATACTTGAGGTAGTTTTCTCCCAATACTTATTTGCAATATTAGTGCCTCTTTTGAAAGAATGAGCTTAATGTTTGTAGGTACCATTTCTGGAAACCCTCACGAGACTTTACTCGTCCACTAGGGGTAACCTAGGGGTTTAAAAGGCTTGTTGCGTATGCTAAATGCAATCGTGTTCCCTACGAAAGTGGCGCTATCATTTTACTTGTTTTCCAATTTATACTTGTTTAGTTGTTCATTTCATTCCTTTACTTCTTAGTTCATTGCTAGGGACTAGCAATATTTAAGTTTGGGGGTGTGATGAGCACTGAAAAGTGCGCATTTAAACCCGTTAAGCTTAAGCATTCTAGTACCTTTATCTATCTTACTTTGCCGTTTTAGACTTATTACGTGTTATTTATATTTTCAGGCACTAATCCCAAAATTGAGCTAACTCAGCCAAATAAGAGCTTAATTAAAGCAATCCTGAGATAAACCAAAGGAGGGAGCAAAGTGGAGAAAGAAAGGAGCAAAAAGGAATCAAAGTTGTGCAGCTAAAAAGTTCGATCGATCCAGCTTAGAGTTCGATCGATCGAACATCTATGATCGATCACAGTACTTCTCGATAGATCCAACCTTGGCCTTTGCTGAAATTCCAAGTTCGATCGATCCAACATCACCTTCGATCGATCGAACCCTATCTTGTCCTATTCAAATGATTGATCTTATCCACAGCTGTACGCCTACCAACAACTTTTGTCCTTTTTCCCATAAATATCTTCGAAATATCTCAGCCTTGTCCTTATCCGGAGGAGTCAGTCCACTTCGATCGATCCAAGATGCAGTTCGATCGATCGAACCCATCTTCGATCGATCCAAGTTAAGGTTCGATCGATCGAACTTCCTCCAGCGAGAAAAAGTTAAAGTCCAGCTCATTTATTCCGTCCTTCACCCAATCATTGGAGAATATGCCTTGCACGACCACAGCTCATCATAGGGTGTATTTGACCTACCTATATAAGGAATATGATACACTTTTTGGAGAGGAGCCTAGAGTCTCTTGTCACACATTGAAAATCATCTTGGAGGCTATTCTTGGAGAGGAGGAAGGGGGGAAGCTAGAGCACCATTGGAGGAAATCTTCACCAACAAGGAGCAGCCATGGAGTTAGCCCTTGAGGGTTGGATCATCACTACCATGAGTGTCTAGACATCCTCTTGGGGCTAGAGTTAGCCCCAAGCATGCTTTCTATACTCTAATCTTGTGTATTATTGAGGGATTAGTGTTGTATGATACATCTTGATATTCATGTATATATAAATCTTGATTATTTCATGGTTTGTATGGTTTAATGCTTCCAATTGACTATTCTATGCTACCCATATGTCTATGTATGCTAAAGTAGGATATTCATGTGCTTATCTCTAGATTTAGTGTTTTTGATGCATGTCTATGTGTATTGATGCTATAGATCTAGAGATTATCAAGATGATATGCTTAATGAATGCTATTTTGGTTCATTTGATGGTTTATGCCTATTCTTGATGGCTTGTGCCTCCCCCCTAGTCTAGATAGCTTTATTTTCATGCTAGTAGTGTAGATTTAGTGTAGTGGTAGTATAATGTTAGATGGGAGGACAATCTACTCTTGATGTTTGATATTCCATGCTTGTGAGACCAAATGGCATATTCCTCTAATATTGTGTTGTATGTGGATTGTGAGCTTAATGAAGGATTAATGACTAGTTATGATATGTTGTATCTTTCACATGTGTTTAGACAATTTATTCCTCTCCCAATAGATAAATTGTGGCCTCTCACATGATGTTTAGATAATGCATGTTTAACTAAGTCATCCTTATGGATTGCTTGGACTATGAGCTTAATGAAATGTTCAATGACTTGATTTGATATTTTGTTCTCTTCACATGATGTCTAGACAATATATTCCTCTACCAATAGATGTATTGTGGCCTCACACATGTTGATTGAGACAATTTGCACTTGTTGAGTCACCCTTACCAATTGAATGTCTTTTATACACACAATATTGTTGCAACACATTCATTTCCCTCATTAGTCACTTGATTATGGTTTGGAATAGTATTGTTTGGTGGTGATCTCTACACCCCAAGACCTTTCCTTCTTACTTACTCTTTATCTTAATGCATTTTAATTAATTCTTTTCTAGAAGTAATCAACCAACCCAATTCTCTTTTGCAATCATTTGGTACGCTAGAGTCGAAGTTGAAATTCCAACACGTATAATCCCTTGGGACGATCCCTACTCACTCTTGCTACGTTAGTAGTAGTGTTGGTAGTGGTTTTTATAAATTTAAATTTGACATAAAAGGCTTTTCTTGAACCACACATTCACTACATTCAGTTTGGCGTATTGGAACGGCCGTCGTCAGTAAGGGACATGGGCCTTGGCTCACTTTATCCACAGGCCCAGCAGATATGGCCTGGAGGAGTTAAGGCTATAAAGAGATGGCTAAAAGAAAGGATAAAGGTGAAGAAATCGGGCTCTGTCATACTCCAGACTTCCTTCTTTACCATCGTTTTCAGCTCTCAGATTGGGCTGATTTTCCCTCCCTTAATCCACTCTTTAGTATTCTTCATATTGTTTTAATGATATTCCCAGATATATTTTCATCTTTAGTTTGACTCAAAAATCAAATACAAACAACGTGTCACTATATATATATATATATATATATATATATATATATATATATAATATACTACATAACTATAAATATATGCTTATTCACTTGACACGTCAATTCACAATATGTATATGTGCCTATAGACGTATTACCGTGTGTGTGTGTGTGTGTGTGTGTGTGTGTGTGTGTGTATATATATATCATACTACATAACCATAGATATATCTGTGTGGGCGTAATATATATCTTCTTTGGTAAGCGTGAAGTAGGTAGAAAGGAAAAGAAACATATTTTTTTAAAAAAAAAATTTGGAAATTTGATTACCTAAAAAGAGAAAATTTTGAGGAAAGTGGATTGCCTCCGATAAATTTTGGAAATATTTTATTTCCAAATTTCATATTCTGCCCCAATTGAGTTGTTTCTCCATTATTATTATTATTATTATTATTTCACATAAGAGGTTATTAAGTTCACACTTTCAAATCCTTTTTGCTACGTTTATTTACTGGGACACATAATTTGTCATCATAGGATTCATATCCAAACTGTTGTTACCTAATCTTTTTTAAAATAAATTAAGAATTAAATAGTGGAATGATATTACTTTTAATTTTTACCAATATCTTAATAGAAATATGAAAAGAGATGAATTGGAGTCCTCGTATTATCTATATGACATAACCATCTCACACTATTTATTTTTAATTATCTATACAGCTTTGAAACTGAATAGAGTTTTATACTGGAACCATGTGTGATTTTTGTAAAGAAAATTTTGCATGGTTCATATTCATAATAAATGAAAGTAGATTGGTAAATTATGCATGAACTAAAAAATTATTATATATTAAATATAAAATATGTTACTTTTGTATGACAATTTTTATCCTAAAGTGTTGCCATTTAGTGTTTTTCGAGGGACTTGAAAAAAAGAAGAAGACATATTTAATATTCCAATAAAAACATGAGTATGTTAAATGAACTACATTAATATAAATAATTATTATTGAAAATACAAAATAAAAAGAATATGATAACTAAAATCCAGTCCTCCTTAGTTTGTTCTAATTTCAATATGAATATAAATAATAATAATAATAATAATAATTAATAATAATACATCATTTTAATATTTATTTGTTAAAAATTAATATAAATAATTGGGTATAAAGAGGATTCATCTAATACAAAATTAATTTATTTTTAAATATTTGAAATCATAAGGATAGTTTTGGTAAGTAAATCATTTTATTTTCCCTTTCACGCTATCCAAACTAACAAAATAATATTTTCACATAACTTTCTATCATACATTTTTATCATTTTTATCTAACCAAACGGACCCTATTTATTTGTGTGCATGTCATATATGTTTACTTATCTGACATGCCAGTGTCTATAGATGTGTCACTGTATATATACATACGTAAGTTAGATGTATAGAAATTTTACCGTATATGTTTTTTTTTCCTAATTGATACTCACACACCTCAAAAAAAACAAAAAAAAAAATTGTTTGCACTCATGAATGAGTAGACCCATCAACGGATCGGATTTGGACCGGATCATGGTCAATCCGATTCGAATCCGATAAGCAAAAATGGTGATCCGATCCGGTCCGATAATCCGACGGATTTTTACTTAGTCAATCCGTATCCGATTTGTTTGATTATCGGATGTCCGATCCGATAGTCTGATCCGATTCTTCAATTGGAAATTGGAGCTAAAATATCATGTACTTCAATGATGTCCCCATCACCATCATTTTCTTTGGCTTTTTCAGACATTGCTAGAGCAAATAATACAACAGGAAGAAGAAAAAAAAAAAAAAATTGACAGAGAGTTTCTAGAGATAAAATTATGAAAATGTTCAAACCAGAAAATATAAGAAAAATTAAATTGAGAGGGAAAATAATAATAGAAGGAAAACAAAAGGAAATAACTAAAAGATTTTATGGTAAAAAAAAAACAAAAAAACAAAAAAACCAACAACAACATAAATTAGGGCAAAATATATATCAATAAAAAAATTTAAAAGAAAAATCTGGATATGTGAATATATGCATGTGTACGCACTGATCTACACTTCAATATCAATTTCAGTGTTAAAACTCATACCATAAAAAAATAAAAATAAAAAAACCTCCCAATTTCGATCATGCCAATATGAAGAGGAGAGAAATGAGATTGGATGAGAGAGAAAGGAAGAACACTAACCTGAGAGGAGTAATATTTTACGATCGCCGATCGATGGGTTCCTTGTTTTTCTGATTTTGCAGCTCTACTAAGTGGGACTGTGGGAGTTGTGTTTGGGGAATTTGTTTTGCGGCAAGGGTAGTGCTGTGTGAGTAAGGATAAGAGATATTGTGAATTAAGGTTAGGGTTTAGATAGAGATTAAATGAAGAATGGGCTTGGGAATAAGAATGGACTTGGAGATGGGTTTGGGCTGACTCTTATAATATATATAAGAAGTGGGCTTGGAGATTTTGGGGCTGTGTCTTATATATATATATATATATATATATGTATGTATGTATAATTTTAATTCGGATCAGATTATTATCGGATCGGATCGGCAAAATTCATATCCGATTTGTTAAGCAAACGGGTTATCGGATTCGGATCATAAACGGGTTATCGGATTTTTTGTTCAATCCATATCCGCATAATCGGATTGGATTCGGATCAAAATCCGATCCATTGACAGGTCTATGAATGAGTGCCAAAGTTCTAACATTTGGCTAGTTCTAACGTTTGCCTTTGCTTAGATGCATCACTCACTCAAGATTTCCATTCAACATTCATATGACATCTCCTCAGAAAACGGATTTCATGCTTGTTAATTTGATAATTTTAGTTATTATTTACCATGTGCCGACTTATCTATGAATTAGAATTGAGATTTCTACACGAAAACTTAATTTCAGAAGGTAACCATACCTTTTCCTGTTCAGTTTTTGTATTGAACTCCTATTTTCTGTGGCGAACCAAACCAGGGCATTTAGGTCTTCGTTTTTTAAACAAAAAAACTTTTTGGAATTTTTTCACTTGATGATTTTCCAAGACTCTGGCTGCTTGCAATACAAAAATGTCTTATATATACAAAATATATTACTTCTATGGCACTCGTGCAAATTCAATTTACTAACCACCATCACAATTATATTACTTCTACTTGCTGGGAAAAATAAATTATATTATAGAACCGGATGAATTTTAATTCAAAAGGCAGTATTTACAAAAGTTACGATACATTTGCTATACTTGAGCTAATGAAACAATCACCCCTAAAGCAAATTTCTTTTTTCCAAACTTTAGCTGCAACAATATGGCCAACCTAAAGTCTTAAAGTGTTTGTAATTGCCAGAAAATATTCTAGTTCGCCATTTGCTAGACCAAAGCCAACAAACACACAAACAAAAAAGAAAATTGCACAGATTCTGCACCAGATGGCAGCAAATATAAGGTAGAAATCATCACTTTCATAGTATGTTCAGACAACTTCTATGCATCATTAGCAGGAGGTACAGAAGAATGCTCACCGGATGTCAATAAGGATGACAAGTCAGTGCTTCCATTTTTATCATCCTCCTCGTCAGATGCATCTTCTAATAGGGAACCAAGGGAACCATTTCGACGGAGTTCTTTCACTTTCCGGTACTCATCATAATGAGCTCGCCTGTGCTCCCTGAAACTCATACTGCTTGCATCTGTTTCAGAATTCAACAACATTTTAACAGAAGATGCCAGACAAAGAAATCAAGTAAGAGAATTAGGATGGAAAATGCGGTATTTTAAAAACTAAAAGAAAGTGACGATTGTGTTGGAAAATTGTAAAAAATATATATATATATGGGTAATCATTTATAGACGAGTAAGTAGTTTTCAAGAGCAACATAAATACAAATCATTTAACATCCTATTCTTTATGCCTTAACTGATAACACAGTAGAGGTGAAATGGCAAGAAACTTCAATTATTCTCCTCTATTTTGGCCATAACTTCTTTCCATCAAAACAACCAGTACATGTTTCTTAAAATTGAATAAATAAAACAGTACATGTTTCTCTTGCTTATTCCATAAAACTGAACTTGTTTAATTGCTTAATCCAAAACACAAAAAGAGTTGGCCAAAATAAGAAGCTCACCATCCTAGAAGTTGCTTCTAACTACCCAAAAGCTAATGAATAAAGAGTGCAATAAACATGAAATAGTAGTGGTGAATAATAATTATTTGACTTACGATAATATTAAATTAGTTCAAAATGCCGAAGAGATAAAAAATGTAACTAACTAAATACAGTGAGGGATCAACACCTTCATCGTCTTCATCCATGGCATCTGCCTCATCCTCAGATGATGTCCAACCATCAGAACGGGATTTATTTTTACTAGAAGAAACCACATCATTCAAAGCAAAACGTACTACTTCTGCAGGTACAGCATCATCAGCATAATCATCAAAACTACCCCGTATAGGAGACAGGGATCCTACAAAAAACAATTAAATTCAGCTGATATTTATCCGATTCAATTAGAAGTAAAAACTGTAATAGTGGGCCTTCCCCAAAACAAAGTGCTAATTTAAATTTGACCCTAGATAATTTTCTTCAGTAAGTTTAATCCCAAACATATATCATTATTTCCTATCATATACATTCGTTTATTAAAGTATAAACATGCCTTTCTCGCAACATATTTGAATTTTCTGCATCTGATTTTTTTCTTTTTCTTCCCTTTCCTTTGCTTTGGTATGTACCATATTTGTATACATGTCACTGATACATATAGTTGCAATTACATAACCAATAAATTTGGCGTACGTATGTGAAAGGTGAAGACTGATAGCAGAATATCAGCATGTCAGAACCATCAACTTTTGTTGACGAAAGGAAAATCGAATACAAAAGGATTTTGTGTTTACTTGAAAAGTTCAACCAGTGCCTAAATAATTGAATTCACTGCTATTGAAGTTCTTTAAAAAAATTAGCCTTTTCAACAGCAAATTTCAGATGAAACAGTGCAATTTTGAGCTACAATTATTACCTAGCCAAAGGTCGTAATTGAAATTTTCCCCAGCTAATGGGAAAAGAAATGCATGCATGGCAACTAGGACACAAAAAAAAAAAAAAAAGAAGAAGAAGAAGAAGATATGCATACATGGTAAAAGTAGACACATGAACAAAAAATAATAATAATAACAATAAATTAGATTTTAACATACCATCATCATCACTCCTCATGGGGTGATACGGCGTCTTAGGTTCAGTTATTTTCTGCCTTACAGGTTTATTTGCTTCAATTTCCTCCAAATTAGCTTCATTCCATCTTACATGTCCCCTGATACCCAAATAAAAATGTTCATATTAGAATAATTATAAATTACCTTATACAGCAAATGAAATGCTTATTTTGCAAAGCATTTCATGAAACTTATCACTAGCAATACAATCCAACAACATTGTAGCATAGAACTCCACAATTATTGTATAAGAAGAAAAAATATAGAGTAGAAACATATAGCTTAGTTCATTTCTTTTCCTTTACAAATACCATTCATGAAAACAAAAACATCCAAAAAGATCGTTTGAGCCAGGACATATATGACACAAATAGCTAACACAAAAAAACCTATAAGAGTAGTAATAGAGATCAGTGGCAGCAGCCTTTAGAAGTGTATAAAAGGCATCTTCCTATAAGAGTAGTAATAGAGATCAGTGGCAGCAGCCTTTAAAAGTGTATAAAAGGCGTCGGAAGGAGGGTTGTAAGGCTCAAGCCCATATACTAGATGATGTGGGGTCCACTTGGAGTCTTGAATATTGGGGGTTTGGTTAAATTGCATAGTTATGGTAAATTGCATCAGTCAGTATTGATTACTTTTATTATGCTATACAGTCAAATATTAATTATCTCAATTATGGTGACTCGGTGAAAGAATTAAGTCATATGAAATTTCTTATGAATGAATAAAAACGTCTAATGAAATTTCTTGGGGAGTGATTTACAAGATATGAGGGTGTGAAGCCTTCTCTAAGTATGATGCCTAGACGTGTTGGTATGATTCTAATCCTTACTCTCTACTAACACATCTTGAACCATAGCTTTGTTTATCTGAATTTTCAACCAAAAACTGTTATTTATTTCAACTATGAGTAATGATAGGCAACGCGAAAACTCCCCGAATCTGACTTGGCTAGGCCACGTCAGAGTTAAAAAAGAAAGAATCATCACTTATATGGTATAATTGAAAGGGGAAAAAAAGAAAGTATATAGAAAACATGGTGCTTCCTCTTTCCCCTCACAAATAGAAAGCTAAAAACTCTCCAAATAAACTCAAATGATTTGATATGTTCAAACGGTATAGTTCTTTGATTTTTTACTTTGTCAATTTAGAAATATGGAACACACAGGTACAAGTATTTCCTGTTTGTGATTTTTTTCTCTTTTGCTTCAAACGGTATGGTTCTATGAATTTTTACTTCGTGAATTTAGAAATATGGAACACGGGAACAAGTAATTTCCAGTTTGTGATTATTTTCTTTCTCTCTTCCTCCAATTTTGGAGAATTTTTAGTTTCTTGTTTGTGAAGGGAAAGAGGTAGCACCATGTTTTCATTTTTTTTCTTTTTTCTTTCTTTTTTTTTTTATTCCTTTTTTTCCCTTTCAGTTATACCATGTAAGAGAGAGTTCTTTCTTTTTTAACTCTGACGTGGCCTAGCCAAGTCAGATTCAGGGAGTTTTCGCATTTTCTCTTTCGCGTTGCCTATCATTACTCTTTCAACTATTTGAGGCTGCTCTTGTCCTCCATCAGTTTTTGGTATCAGAGCATAACTTGACATCATGTCAACACAATCAGGAAATGAAAGAGCGGGAGGTAATCAGCGAGATGAGCTGCTATTTCAAATTGTGGAGCAGCTCAGACATGAGGCAAGACCTTTGATTCTACTAAAACATCAAAAATGTCTGGTCTAAATAGCTCTTTCTAATCCTTAAATCATAAAGAAGTACTAGAATAAACAATTTGACCATGAGCAAAACCAACAATTTAGATGAAGCAAAAATATCTGAAACACAAGGAATGAATTACATTTATGTGAGCTGGTGATCTTCAAAAATCCCAAATCACTTGAAGTAGTTGCCGTTTAGCCTGATTACGCTGGTAAAGACAAGGGATCAATTTGTTACATATTTAATGTATAAACAAAACAAGCTTACTTTTCATTATATGATAAACAAAATAAGAGTTAGAGAATCAACATGTCTCTAACTGAAACATGAGAAAGGTGACTACATATATGAAAGGTGAATATAAAAAAGGGGGAAATGAAGAATAGCAAGCTCAAGTGTATAACATAACCAAGCAGCAAAAGCAATGACTATAGCAGCAAGGGTCCCAAGGTTAATATTTCTGCATGCTTGAAAGTAACTACGATAATGATTACAAAATAACATCTATAAGAAAAGATGAATAAATATAAGGTTATAAACTGCACCATCAATAGTAATTAACTGAAACTATAAAAACTGCAAGTTAGGAATTATCACAAATTACTGTAAGAGGTGAACCAGCCTCTAAAAAAATGATTATAAATGTGATTATGTATCCATTCATATAAATTTTTGAGTCTTGAGTACCAAAGAATTCAACAGAAAAATTGTTCACGTCTATGTCCTCTATGGCAAATGATGAAAAACAATATACTTGTGATTTTAGCTTTACATTCCTTTCCCCCTTCTCTTTTTTTTTTATTTATTTTATTTGTTCCCTTTCTTTAAAAGAAAGTAGTTTGGCTTCAAGGAGAATGTCATTCAAGTCAAATATTCAATTCCAAAATCATCACAACAATTTTAATCAATTGTGTCGTGACAACAAAGAGTTAGCAAATTTGAACTTTACCTATTTTACGATGCAAGACCAACATAAATAAAATGAGCCAATAAGAAGTCCAGTTTTACAATAAAAACATTCAGTTGGATCACAGTCAGATAATCCAAAAGAGGCTCATAGATTCCATATTCTATTACTTAGTCTTCACCAATTGTACTTGCATGTCTTTATAGTAACACAGTTGCAAGTTCCTTAAAGGATAAGTATAATTTCTACAGCAGACTTATGAAAGTAAGTAATGCTTTCCGTGCTTCACTCTCATCGAGCTATTGCCTACAAGCTTCATTAGGTGTTGTAGCTTTGGTACCAAATCTCAACCCAAAATGAACGCAAATGCATGCCTCACGATGACTCTGGATGAAGGCATTTCGGTCATTGTAAAATATCTTTGATACAAGATTGTTAATAATGAGAAAGAAGGGCAAACTGTGACTAACTATGGATTCCTTTATGAAGGAGATGATTGGTTGATAACATAGAAAGTACGCTGAAATAAAAGTTTGGATCTCTTCATAGAGTTCTGAAACTAACAAAGTTCAAAGACATTTACGCCTCAAAGCCTACAAGTAGTTCTGTTCAGGAAAAACATATGTTGAGGAGTTGTATGCCGAGCCAGCTAAAGCTAAATTTTTTTACAAGTATGCATAAAAATCATTTAGAATGCTAGATCACATATATACCCATCTTAAATATAAGGATTTAATCTAAAATCCAAGTACCCAAATTACCAAAAGTACCCAATCAAGATACCACATGCATACAAATTCCACTATATAAGAATTAAAAAATAAAAAGTATAAATCAATCTTCATTCCGAAGACTGTTCTTCGAAACAGAAGAGAGCAGACAGAATTAGATCTATTATTCAGCTAAATTGAATTATAAACTATAGATCAAAATCCGAAGAGCAACTCAATAAACAAACCAACTGCCCAGTACCGTCAATTTCCAAAATTTCAGATCTATCAGTACCGTTAATCTTCTAGAATACAAATTTCCAAATTCAATCATCAATAAATGTTCCACCAATTGACACGTATTTTTTGGGGAAGTAAAATCATATGATAATTGAAAGATTCGATAACATTCAAGCCAACTCTAAAATCATTTAAGTATATAAATTAGAAGATTAATCAAAATCAAAATCAAAATCCGGAAAAAGTCAACCCCAAGAATCAAATAGGCCAAAATTAAACATTAAGCAACAAATATCATTCAAAGCCACAGATCGACGAAAAGGTAAGAAATATATAAATAAGACCCAAAATCATAAAATGAATTTGAAAGAAATCAAAATCCGGAAAAATTATACCTTCCGTTTTTTGCAATAACAGTTGCGTTCTCGCCCGCGATTTCTTCCACTATGAGAGTTCGCCCCGCTTTTTCTACATTTTAGGCGTTTTCTTAATTTACCATAATGCCCATCCTACTGGCGTGTAATATCGGAAATGAATTTGGACTTTAATATTGAATAAGAATTCTAAAACGAGTCTTATTGCGAATTATATTATGATCCGAATTGGATGTAAGTACTATAATAATTCTAAAATCAATCTAGCTAGCAACTTAAATGAAATACTCTGTCCGATAATAAAAAATTGTGAGATAGAGAATTGAGACAATTATTTTAGCTGAACAAAAAATTAGGACAATTATTTTTGGTGACTGTAGGTGCAAAATTTCGCTCAACCAATAATGATTGAGAAAAATAAAACAACTCACTCAAAAATAATAAAAATAAATAAGAACAGTGTATAGAGAAGCGTAGAATTGCTTGATCCTTTATCGGAGGTCTTAGCCTCTATTTATATACAAAAGATTGCAAAATTATGGTAGGACTCGCGTTACTTGCCCTCCAATTCTTTCTATATAACCATTCTTTTCTAATAGAGTTCTTTCCATTGTCGAATTTTCCATACATAGAACTTGCCTTGTACAGAACTTCCTATCAGAATTTTCCTTCTATAGTAAATCCTTCAAATGGTAGGACTTGTGCATTCTTGGGCTGAATATATTTTGATTCGGCTGGACTTGAGTAACAGGCCGGATGTTAAATACTCATAAGCTGGGCTGATGACTTCTTGATTCGGCCTTGATGGAAGTTGGAGGACAAATAACAATGGTCTTGGGCTGTAAATACCCTCAACTTGGGCTTGAGCATGATGGGCCTTATATGTCCTTGGAATGTAGATATGGGTAGTGGTGACGTGTGCGCTTTTTATTGGAGGGAGTTTTTTTCCCTCCACACTTTGCCCCAAATTTCGTTTTTAATTGAGCGACGGCTCCTATTAAAGAGGGAATTGAAACCGGTTTTTTACTTTGCTTCAGAAACGGTTCGAGGTCTTTCATTATTACTCCGTCGTACAAGATTTTGCAAGAGTTACATTTGCCTTTGCTGCACTTCTACGTTCTTCATTCCATCGCTTTGTCAGGTTAGTCTCGCATCTTTCTCTTCAATCTTTCCTTATGAGTACTTCATCTACTCCCGAACGTATAGACCTTGGGGATTCTGAATCCACACCTTCATCTTCCCCCGTTCGCATTAGGGCTCCCCCTCCTAGGGTTTCTACAGATCGCCCTTTTGTCGAATCCATTAGGTACTTCCCCTCTTCCAATCGAGACATCTGCCTCAGGCTCTGATTATGTTCTTACTCATGACGAGAAGAAAGCAATCATCTCTATTCGCCGCATCAAGTTCTCTATTGCTTCGGTAATGGAAGAATTTGATATTCCTGAGGGAGTAGAAATCGCAGAATATCCCGAGAGTGCCGATTTTACTTCTAGCGAGGGAATTGAGGAAGATGAGTTGCTTCTTTCGGTGGGGCATCTTAACGCCCTCCGATTCCCTCTTCATCCCTTCTATCATTTAGTGTTTAATAAGCTGGGTCTTGCCCCCCTTCAGGTAAACCCTAATTTCTTTCGCATCCTTTCGGCACTGTTGGTGCGCCGGAAATTAGAGGCTCTGGATTTGACCCTTGTCGGCCTTCTGCCTACTTACAATATATTTAAGTATGGGACCGAGCCTGGTCGCTTCTTTTTTACTTCTCCCCTTCATCAGAGGATATGCACGAACCTTCCTTCATCCGAAAAGAAATGGAAAGAAATGATGGTTATAGTTAAAGGAAAATGGTTCGTGTCCCAATCAATTGCGCTCCCCATCCCACGCAAGTTCAGGAAATTAGGTATAGAATATTTAACCTCCCTTCATACCAAGTGTTCTGGCTGTTTTCCTTGCCAAGTCTTAATGTTTCGACGTATTTATGAGTTTCTTGGTGTTTTTTCAGCTACATTCCCATCCTCCGCAGCAAGGAACAGACTTTCTTTTCTTGAGGAACGAGTCTAGAGTGACCCCTCGCCTATCGAGGACCTGCTAACTTCTTCAAACCTCAAGGACATTGCCTCCAGTGCCGTTGCTGCAGACCTCATGGATCTGTCTCTACCATCCTTTGACAGTTTCCCCATGACTAAGGAGGAGATACGGAGGGCTGAGGCTTTAAAAAAGAAAGCCAAAGATGCCCAACCCTTGGTCGTTATTAAATCAACTGAGGATGAGGTGGAGGTTGAGGAACCACCAATGAAGAAATCTCGCCTCAACCTCTCATCCTTTGGCAAGGGCAAGGTCCCTTCTAAAAGCAGAGGAAAAAAGGCTGGAGAGGCCGAACCTGAAGATGAAGTCAGGGCCTTTGTTCTAGCTGAGACTGGGGCTCCTTGGACTCCTTCCTTCACCAGGGCTGATAGGTCAGTCCTGCACTCAGGGGATTCTGTGATTACAGACCCTTCAGCTGCACTGGCGGTGGCTCGAGGAATGTGGCTCCCAAAGGACGAGGAAGCCATCAGCCAAATGGGGTTGGAGCAACTACTCCCCTCTGCCCCAGTCCGGGCCATAGAGGTTCGCAGTGCTCCTTCAGAATTATGTTACTCTTGCTTGCTTGTGTTTCTATTTATGCTTATATTTGCTTCCCTGTTAAACAGAGTCTATACCACACCATGGCCCTCTGCGCCACTGCTGAAGCTCAATCCCTCTCCATCAAGAAGTTGGAAAAGGATCTTGACAATGCAGAGAAGAGAGCCACTACTGCCTCTACCAATCTGAAGATAGCTTCTGAAGCCAAGGATGCGTATAAGAGGCAGTTGTCAGCCTCTGAGGCTAAGGTGGATTCTCTTCAGGCCGAGGTTCAACGCCTGACCGAGGCTCTTACTACTTGCTTCAAGGCGGGGAAGCAAATGCAGGGGCGCTACTCCTGTCTGGCGCACCTGGCTAGTGCTAAAGCGTTCCGATCTGGCTATAATCAGGGCTCAGGCCCTAAGACGATGGATCCGGACGCCTTTGACAAGCAGGTGGGGGTGCATTTCCCATACGATGAAGGGCCAGAGGCTTTGGAAGCTGAAATCCGCTTTGCAGAGATGGTGAAGGCACACCTGAAGGGTACTCCTAGCTCCCCTGCTCCTGCGGCTTCAACTCCTCCTACCTCAAGTCCTAATGTAGTGGATGCTTTTGAATCTACTCCCTTCGATCCGAAGAGGAAGTAGAACCATGTATTTTGTTTTTAAGAACAGCCTGTTTTGGGATAATGAATATAACTTTTTGTTTTAGGCTTGCCTGACTTGTTTTTACTGTATGTTTTTGATACTGTTCATATTTCTCTGACTGGTAATGTGTTTAAACACTAAACATTGTCTTTATGTTTCGGATTTATGCTATCCGTGAAAATGCAAGGATTGTGGGAAGAAGGAGATCCTTTTAACAGTTTAGTTGATATCGCAGGATGATTCATATGGACAATGATTTAACTGTTAAATGAACCCTCCTTGCCTTTTACTTGCCTGCAGTAGACGTATACATACTCTTTCCTTCTCGTGTGTTCCTGATGTGGGGTGGAGTATGATGAACTTATGATATATCCGCATCCACTGGGTATTAAACACTTGGAGTCCGGAGGAAAGAGTTCTAATCCGGGTACCAGAGGTCTAAAGCGAATTACTCCTCGGCACTGAGTGTGGAGGAATATTGCTGAATAAGACACTTAGGGTCCAAATCTTTCTCGGATACTTAGGATTCGAGGCGAATTATCCCTCGGCACTGAGTCGTGGAGGACTAGTGCTGAATAGGACACTGAGGGTCCGAAGCTGTCTCGGATACTTAGGATCCGAGGCGAATTATACATTCCCTGGCGTGGTGCCGGAAGGGGGTTTTGCCAAGCCGAACACTTAGGGTCCGAGGCGAGATTTTCGCCGAGCCGAACACTTAGGGTCCGAGGCGAGATTTTTGTCGAGCCGAACACTTAGGGTCCGAGGCGAGATTTTTGCCGAGCCGAACACTTAGGGTCCGAGGCGAGATTTTTGCCGAGCCAGACACCTAGGGTCTGAGGCGAAATTTTTGCCGAGCCAGACACCTAAGGTCTGTGGCGAATGACCTACTCTCCGGCGCTGAGCCTGAGGGGAGGTTTAAATGAATCACTCCTCGGCGCTGAGCCAGAGGGAAGGTTTTGCCGAGCCGAACACTTAGGGTCCGAGGCGAAAGAACTACTCCCAGGCGCTGAGCCTGAGGGGAGGTTAAATGAATTACTCCCCGGCACACCTAGGGTCTGTGGCGAATGACCTACTCTCCGGCGCTGAGCCTAAAGGGAGGTTTAAATGAATCACTCCCCGGCGCTGAGCCAGAGGGGAGGTTTTGCCGAGCCGGACACTTAGGGTCCGAGGCGAGAGAACTACTCCCCGGCGCTGAGCCTAAGGGGAGGTAAAATGAATTACTCCCCGGCGCTGAGCCTGAGGGGAGGTTGTGCCGAACCGGACACTTAAGGTCCGAGGCGAATGAATTACTCCCCGGCGCTGAGCCTGAGGGGAGGTTTGTTTTATATTTTTCCTCAAACCACTTATCATGAGGCCGAGGACTCAAAAATGATAGGAGGCCAAGAAAGCGAGTAACAGTGGCTGTGAAGTTTTCCATTTGTTGACTTTAGAGACCTGCCTCCACTGATACTCCCTTCTTGGCAACCAAATATTGTGGACCACGCATATATGAACCGCATTTCTTTTCTATTTTTATCCGATGTGGGACATAGACTAAATTTTGTCAAAAAGGTCGGTGTAAGGAATGCCTCTGGTATTGAGCTTGACAGCCTTAAATACCAGTGGGCCCTCCTTACACCGTGATTAACTATTTGAATATTTCCATATATAACAGAATGTGGCACATACTTTTTTGTCGATGTGGGATAGACAGGTTTAAGCACAGGCCATAACTCATGTTTTGTTGCTTTTTGCTTTTTTTTTTGTTTTGTTTTTGTGAAAAAATCAGACGAATGCCATGCATAGTATGGCCCCCCATTTTTATAAAAAGAAACAAAAATAGAGGAAAGTGGTACTGAATATAGAAGCAAAATAAAGAAAAGCTTGGCTGACTGTGGACATACGCAGCTTTATTTGTGA